TAAAATCGATCCATCGACTTGCGACTCTTTCTTTTTGCGTCTGCTGCGAGCGATACTTTGGAGATCAGCAAAGTGACGATTACATGCGACCCTCCGCTCGAGAATATCTCGAAAGTTGGCTTATGTTTACGTTAAAAATATTTACATTAGGATTGGTGTAAAGAGGAGACTTATTAGAGGATAGAGATATAGGAGAGAGAATTATTGTGATGATTGAATTAAATTTAAAAACATTTTCATCAATTATCTAACATGAATTTTGTGTCAAATTTAATGCTAATAGTAACTCTCAATTGTGCTTTGAAAGGGTTCCTATTTTTACTGTAAAATGTCACTTTATTTCATTTCGTCTCGTATAAACACAAGTTGGTCGGACAAATCTAATTTCCTTTTAGCGGTGCTTCACTTATACAATTACTTTCACTTTTTCAGTTGCGGATTTACTGATAGCGATACTCGCCATCTAGTGGTAAAGCCTGGCTTTAATTATGATTTAATTTTCGTACATTTTTTGAGCGATTTCAACTTGAACGATTAAATTTTAGTACATAATCAAGTCTTTTTTGCTTTAAAAGTAACCCACGTGATTGCATTTTTGTGCATATTTTTTTAGTTTATGCAAAAAAATAAAAATAAATAAATAAATCAGCATCGATAACTTCATTTTCAATGAAGATTTCAGGCAAAATTAACTTGAATATAATTCGGTATCAGTTAGTAATTACTCTAATTTCAGTTTTTGTAAATAAAGATATTTTTTTATCGGCGTTAGACTTCGGTACACCAGAAATATTTTTGCAATATTTCATCCTTTTTTTTTTTCACCCGAACTAGCAAATATCCGCCATGAGCCAATACGCCAACTCAACTCAACAACTTCATCCGCGACGTGCAGTCTCGTCGCAGATCATCGTATCATCGTAATAATTATCGTCGTTATAATTAGTACGCGAAAGTGCGTGTATCATCGTGCGTTTGCCGCTCGTCGTCGTCGCGAAAGCTCGAGTCGAAGTTTTTAATTGCCGGGCTCGGTTGCGCTGCGAACGACGGTATAAGCTATAGACAGCATGTGCCGCGATTATATCGAGCCGACTTTTCAAACCCTGAACTTTTACATGGGTGCGTAAAAAAAAAAAGAAGAAGCTTCGTACTGTATACGAAATAACGAGATAAGTTGGCTCGATTCATAATAACGCTGCATCTATACGCGAGCTTTACGGTCCCTCGCGTGCATTTACCCTGGCTACGCGATGACGCGATGCATATCGTATAGGATAGAACGACGTAGAAGTTGCAACTGTGTATATGGTACGTCACGTGACGAGTGACCGGTACGGCACGTGTTTCGGATTATTGCGATATAATCATCAGCCGACATGAGTACCACGCTGTAAGCAAAGTTATATTAAACTGGAAATCGACTTGGCGTCTTTCGAAACTTGTTTTATATTTTAATTTTCTCCATATAAAGTAGCAGTGAAGCACAGAGAGAGAGATAAGGCAAGGCTGTGTGCAGGTCGCGAGCGACGTTACGTTATATATTATATACAATACGGTTGCATACGCGGGCTCGTAGAGCGAAACCCTGACATAGTAACGCACATGTGTATACGTGTGTACATGTGTCTGTGTGAGTGCGTGCGTGCACGCCTGCGTGATATAGATATTGTATTACGTTAAAAAAAAGAGAGCACAAAAACGTCGTTCTGTGCATACGAAGTGCCGCATTATGCACGGCATGAAAAAAAAACAACAACAGATAAATAAATAAGTCAGTTATTAACTGTACGCGACGAGTTGGTGCGAGTGCGACAAATGTGTGCAATTGTCAGAGTGAGGTGCCCTGGAAGGAATGCTCGACATTCACAATGGCTTATACTGTCCTACAAATGATTATTTAAAATGTTTGAAAATATATAACCATCAACTAGTTTATTTTTGGTGATTTTTCTGATACAATTTTGTTACAAATATCGAGCGCATTTCGAAAGACCCGACAAAGACAATACAATTGTTCCGAAAAGTTCAGACCAGTTTTCAATCACTTTGAATACAACACGTTGATGCAACTTTGAATCTCCACCGCTAGATGGCGAGTACCTTGATCTGTAAATCTGCAAGTGGTAAGGTAAAGTTAATTGTATATAAGTCTGTATCAAAGTGAAAATATCACTTGTGGTGAACAATCTATTATTGGGTTGGATTGTATGTCCCTCTAAATGTCCAAACACGTTTTGGTCAACCAAAATAATTTAGCCATAAAGCTTCGAGCCCTTCTACCAGGGTTAAGGGGACGATATATAACAGCACGGACGCGCTGAGAGAATAAAAATTCAATCGATGCGCGACTCGACATTATTATTATTGCTCGCACATATGCAGCTGATATATACGATGCCATTAAACTGTAGTTACGCTTACGTGCCTGCTTATAAAATACCGCTTAACTTATTGAGGTCGATTCCGGCTCTCAGTTGATTGCGCGAGAAAAATCGAACGCGATGATTTCGACCATCGAAAATGAAATCGACTGCCCCTTTTTTCATCGTACACACACGGATCGCGATCTTAATTAACTCGTATTTTCGCGCCAGAGCCAAACGGCATTATAGTATTATATTTAGCTCTCTCCGTGTCAATCAGCGTTGATCGTTCGCACGCACACGTACTCCCGCGAGACAGCGGCGCAGCTTGCTGCTGCTGCTGTACGATTACGGTTAATCGCTTTTTGCTCGCTTATAAGTGAAAAAAGCTGTGCCGGCGGCCCCCATGTGCCACGATCATGCTTGTACGCGTCGCGACCTAGTTCCAGCAGCAGTGCACCGCCTCTGCCGAAAAAACCTTGGGCCATTATAATTCAGTAGTCTAGAAAATTCTCTTCATTCCTTCGCGAAATTCACTACTATCTCGAGGCAGGCACCAGCAGCAGCAGTAGTGCATGTGCATGAGCGGCTTTGCTCTCTCTCTCTCTCTCTCTCTCTTTTGCTCTGTCGCGCGCGAGCTCAACAATATAATGTACGAGGGATATTATACATTCTTGTCTCGCAAAATTTATTATCGCGACGCTATCATTGCTGCAAGTGAGAGCAAGCTAGAGAGAATTGCAAAGGCTTTGGCATTATTATATATATGCCCGAGACAATCGAAGTTCATAGATTTATGAATATATGTTACGCGCGCATGAAATAGAATAGTGCTTATATCTGCTACTGCTGCAAAGCTCCGATACGCCCGCGTGCAGTACAATAAATATCATGATGAGAGCTTTGCTACGCAGAGGAACCTTGTCTCTCTCTCACACACACACTCTCTCGTATACGTTGAATTTTTTTTTCTCTGCACCCCCCACTTTTTTTCACCGTTGCGAAGGCTATACATCCCGGGGAAAAATCATTTCGACGAAATGAATTTGTCGTTATGACTTTTGCCTTGCCGACGTCAGCGAGCGGCGCGATAAAAACCGCATCGATCCTGCAGGGGGAGGACGCGAGCAAACGTTATGGAATCAAATTGAAGCGCGATCCCTGGCTCCCCGTATAAAGAGAGACAGAGACGCGCACAATCGGATAATTAAAAAAAAAAAGAGGAAAAAGAGAGGAAAAAAAGTGTGCAGTGTGGCAATTGCCACTGGGTGCAGAGCGTGCAGAGCTATCACGCCTCGACGCAGACACCCTCGACGCAACACCGTTGACTGCACTTCTGCTGCTTTCTGCGTGATTAATCTCGTGGCCCCGCGCGTATTATACCGCTTTTATATTATATCCTGCTATACGTCACGCAGATAGGGTCGAGGTAGATAGAAGAAGAAAAAAAATCCCGGCGCAAATATAACGACGTTGCGGCGGAAACGCGTCGACGACGTTGCGAGTTTCATTCTGTCTGCCCGTGCGTATACGAGAGAAAATGCTTAACGCATATAGATAGGCACTCGCGCGGATTGGAAGAAAAGTTGTTTTTTTAATTACATTCAACGGTGCTGCAATGATCGATATAAGAATATATTTTACACGTAGGCTATGTGCGATCTTTTTTTTTGATCCACACGTGCGGGAAGAATATCGAGTGTGTGCAGCAGCTTCTCTTTATACATATTGCCTCGCCTCTTGCAGGCGTACGCGTGCAACGATCAACTTTTCTCATTTGATGCGCTCTAGCGAGAGAACGACGTATTTTATATATATAACGACGCTATACCACCCGTTGACGCGCGCAAACTTTTACATTATACGATCATCGCTCGACGACGAGAGAGAGATCGGAGCTTTTATTGCATTTCAGGCCCGCATAAACACCAGCCACGAATCGTCGATCAAATATATACGCCGGCGCTTGGCATGTGATAATTTAAACGCGCATTATATATTATTCGCTGCGATAAATTGTCGCTGATTAGAGGGGGAGGCCTGAGCTCGAAATATTGTGTTGTTAGAGCTCGAGCTTTTCTGCACGTGACTCGTAATAATGTCGCTGTGTGTAGTAGGCGCCTCCGGCGCGTCGCGCAGTATGTCATCAGAGCTGTGTGTACGTGCGAATTATAAGGTACATACACATAACATGCAAAAACTTGGTAAAAGATTATGCAACGAGTTCACGACTACGGCACCAAAATAAAGGAGGGACCCCCGCGGGGCACGCTTACCCTTGAAATGTAGAACGCGATAAATCGTCGCGTTATAATAATACCCCTTCAATTATGTTGTATATATGTATGGGCGCGCAGTAGCCCGCGCACGCTTTATATATTTGGTGCATTTAATGAGCAGTGGGTCGAAGAAATAAAAAGAGAAAGAAAGAGAACTCGAGGGGAGAGAGGACTTTTATATTGGTGACCCCGCTAATTACGAGCAAAAGCGGATTATTAATTAGTCTCAATGCGAGGAAAAAAAATTTTTTTTCAAGCGCCTTAATTCTCTCTCACTCCTTTTCATAGTCGCGCGAATCAAAAGCCAATTATGACGATGCAATTTTTTTTATTATTTCATGCTCTCTTTCTTTTGCAGAACGTCCACGGACACCGTCTCGAGGCGGGGCGTACTGTCGAGAAGATGCTACGGAAGCGTCGAAATGGTACGTCAACACGATCCTTTTCATTATATTCTCGATGTTTTCATTCGCTTTGAAAAGCGAAACTTTTGCTTTTTGGATGCGCTCTGGGTGTGCTGCGGTGGCTACTACTTCTATAGTTAACCCGTGAAAAACGAGCGAGCGTCGCGTGCGCGCGCGATAGTCGCGGAATAATGTATATAGGCGGATTCTCCTCAGAGTCTTGCTGCGCGTGAAATGGAATTTAATTGAATCGATGGAATCGTCTTTGAAATTGAATGGAATTAACGGGTTGACTTGAATAAAAAAATTAAAATTTCGTTACGTCAATGAACTCGATTGAAACAATAATTTACATTCAAAAATATAATTGATTTTAAAGACTTAAGTTGAAAACATTAAAAAGAAAAATGTATCCCATTGAATCGTGAGCTTTTTGATTTCATCACTAGATGGCGTATTGTAAATCCGCAAGCGGGAAAATAAATTCCAACCAGTATACAAATAAATTCAGAATTTTCGATGATAGCGATTAATGCACCTGTCAGAAAATTTGTCTTTCGTTCGAACATTCTCCCTAACATACTTTTCTGCGCTTATTTCTCGACTCGAGAATATTCCCTTCGATCTCGTTCAGCTCTTTCGTGCCACACGTATACACACAAGCGATCGTAGAGCATAAGTAGTACGTTTAACAGAAAACGACCGTTTTCGAAATAGGCTGTATTGAAAGCCGTTCGAGTTCGGTTTCAGCAGCAGCAGCCGCCGCGTCGAAGCGCGCGCAAAATTACCTTGTCCCAATTTCACTTTTCCCCTTTAAACGTTTTTCCCTCTGCACAATCCCCTGCCCCCTTCGCAGCTTATAATGTGCAGGGCGATTATTTGTGTGTATATGTGTATGTGTGTTACATATAGAAAATGTTTCATGCGATGCAAATGCAGCTGCCGCAAATCGAGCAAGACGGCGTGGACGGCCGACGCTTCCGCGTGGAAAACGGCGACTCGCCCGGCGAAAAAGAAGAGGTCAGACATCGCGTTGTGGATTACATTTTTCTTGTCAAATGCTTCGATAAATAAATGTTCGATCCGTAATTACAGATGTTTGGATCCCCGAGCACGCCAGTCCTGGAAAATCCCGAGTACCAGACGCGCTGGTACTTCAAATACTTCCTCGGAAAGCGTAAGTGACACACAATGCCAAAATTATATCTCATATCCAAGATATGAAATTTCATCTTCGAGTGTTGTTGCACACAGTTCACCAGAACTACGTGGCGGCCGACCAGGAGCGCAATCCTCTCTTTCTGTCGGTGGTAATAAGCGAGGGCGGCGATCAATGCGTGCCGCATTATCGCGTCATACTGTGGCGTCGTACGGTAAGCGTATTATCATCTTGTATATGGATACTTGCGGGCTTTGTGTGTATATGGTCGAGGCTCGACATTCAACTCGAGGCCTATGTACTTATATACATATCGATCCCTCGTTCGTTCACCTCTGCTCATATTATATTATTATTGTATACTCTCAACCCTCTCGATTCACGTGTGCGTGGCATTATTATTACACAGGGCGCTCAGAAGATATCTCTGCCGTACTCGTCCAACAGGTCGATGACCGTCCGGCAGATACTCAGGTGAGAGAAATTGACTGAATTTATATGTACGCCGCCTTATAATTGGATTTTGCCGCATCGGCTAGACGACGTCGACGACAAAGGCATTTTATTAACGCTCCGTAGATTCGATCGACATTTGCGTGTATTGGCGCTTTAGTACTTTTTTTCTCTCCTTTTTTTTATACCGTCGTCTAGTCGTCGGCGTTTTCTTCTTGGGTTTATAATAATTACGATGCTACAATACACTTTTTCCTTTCATCCCTTCAATTTATTAATGCGCTCGTTTGTGTATCATCTCGTTCTCTCGTCGTGATATTGCAGCAACTACTTTGGCATTGAGAAGCTCGACAAAGCTCCGCGAGAAGTAATTTCGCCGGAAATTCAAAAGGTACGTGTGGCTTCTATGCGCGTCGCGCACGATGTATATTAATAAGCAGCTGCTGCAGCTTATACCTGACGTAATTATTGTTGCCGTTGCCGTCGTTGTTGTTCGCAGGATTTATTGCTGCTGGAGGAGCAGGAGGGCTCGGTGAATTTCAAATTCGGCGTGATTTACGCCAAGGAGGGACAAACGTCCGACGACGAGATGCTATCCAACGGTAAGCGAACAATTCAAGCGTCCTGCTAGAAATGCTTAGCGTTTTGTGGCTACTTTTTGGACGATGAAAAAGTTTCTTGGGCAAGAAAGTCCCACTAGAACTGGAGGTATAATGATCGGTAGTGCAAAGTTATTTTCAACATTTTTTGGCCATGCCATGCTCTAGAGTGCGTAGTACTATTAAAAATATTAAAACTATACTACGACTTATACAACATTATTTTCTTTGCGCCACTTGGAGATTTCAGATAAAGGTACTCGCCATCTAGCGGTGAAGAAGTGTCATTATTGTATTCATAGCACGTACTGTTTCAAATTTTTTGAAGCGGTTAAAATGAAATTTTTAGGTAATTTAAAACGTGCTTTATGTTTGTAATGTGATTGCAAATAATAAGTGGATTTCAAATGACCTGAAACTCCCAATGAAACTGATTAATAAAATTTAGAATAGTTTTCGACCACTATGAATACGGTAATATCACTTTAAGCTTCGACCGCTAGATGGCGAGTACCTTTATTTTTGTAAATCAACAAGTGAAGAAGTAAAAATAATTATATATAAAATGATAAGAAATTTTAACATGTATCTTGATGCCACTGTGTTTCGTTCATTTTACAGAAACAGGGAGTCCGGCTTTCGAGCGATTTCTAGAAGTGCTCGGTCAGAAGATACGACTGAAAGGCTGGGACAAATATCGCGGCGGTCTGGATGTCAAAGGTAATTTCGAGCAAGACGATAAGTCCTCTTTCGTGTCGAGCCAGTAGTAGTAGTAGTAGTAGAAGCACAAACTGAACTCGAGCCGACACGAGATTCGATCGCAAAACATCCTCGATCTGACCGATCGTCGCCGTGTATAATTTCGCAGGCGACATGACGGGCAAGGAAAGCATCTACACGGTGTACGCCGGCCACGAGGTCATGTATCACGTGTCGACGCTGCTGCCCCACTCGAAGGACAATCCCCAGCAGCTGGAGCGCAAGCGACACATCGGCAACGACATCGTCAACATCATCTACACGGACGACCCGAGCCTCCTCGACACGTTCAATCCCAACTGCATACGCAGCCAATTCACACGTGGGTTTTTTTCGCTTGCGTCGCTTTCAATTCTCGCTTTTACACTAGTGATTTATTTTTTCCTTTTATGCGCGTATATAGACGTATTCGCCCTCGTGACGAGGGAAGCCCAGCCGCAGCAGCAAAGTAAGCAAAGTGAAGAGGGAGACAGCGAAACGACGACGACGACGACGATAACGACTACGGCGGATGAGGACCAGGAGGAGGTGGGCTATCGCATCGCCATCTACTGCGACGAGAACGTACCCCTGTTCGGCCCGGGTCTGCCCTGTCCGCCCTGCTTCGAGGACGCCGCGAATCTGCGCGAATTTCTCCTGGTCAAGCTGATCAACGGCGAGAAGGCCACCTTCGACACGCCCACGTTCTCGCGCAAACGCGAGCGTACCCTGGACATGCTGCTCAGAGACATGTACCAGGAGCACACGCAGGACGGCAAGAGCAACGTGAGTTAATAATATATTACGATGATGTATGAAAGGAGACGTACGTTCGACGATTCGGATGGAGAATTTTATCGATTATGTAGTCCTTGCGTAGAAATGCTCGATATCTCATGGCTAGTTTTTGGCCGACGAAAAAATTTAGTGGATTTAGGAGGGATATTAGAGCTGAACATATACTGACCTAATGGGGTACTAATATTTTATGGATATGAGATGTTCCTAATTTTTTTACCCGTTTTTAATGATAAAAATTGTTAAGTTTATAATTCAATACTTAACAAGTATATTTGTTCGTTTTCAAAACTTGTTTTGACTTAAACAATTATTTTTACTTTACCACTTGGAGATTTACAGGCAAAGGTACTCGCCATCTAGTGGTAGAGGCTTGAAATGTTTGAACCTGGTCTAAACTTTTTTTAAACAATTATATTTGTAAAAACATTTTTTTACACGCGTTATAAAATTAGTCGACGCCATGTCCCTACTATCAAACAGTTGTATTGCTCATTGACCCGATGTTCAATAGTCAAGTGTCCCTATTGTGGAGCGTGTTAATCAAATGGTGATACTCATAATGGGGACAGTGCTTCAAAGTTGGGTCGTTTTTATTAATCAACGATCTCGTATTTTGAAACATTTTAAATGGACATTTGTTGATCATTAGGACATTATCGATATCGAGCATTTCTACACCAGGGATGTAATATAGCCCATAGCTATATCGTTCGCTCAGACAGATACCCGACAAACTAATTGAAAGTTCGTCCCTCCATTGTTTCGATCATCGGGATATCGACGACGCTCGATTGCGTCGTCTTTCCTTTTGTACTAAATTCGCAGCTTAAGTTCTCATCGTCGTAGCAAACGTCCCGCGAAATTTCCTCGCATAATAATAATGATCCTCTACTGTGCACAGCGCTCGATCGCTCGAGCTTATAATCCTCCGCCCCAAATTATATATATAACTCATTGAGTGGCAGCGAAAGTCGCAACAACAACAACAGCGAATTAAAGCCGAATTTCCCAGCGGTGCGTCGGGCGCGCGCGATTGATGCGCACACACATAATTCCGCCAGCGAAAATCCCGGCTATTTGTATTCGCGTTGTACGTTATAGCAGAAGCGCACGAACTTGTATTAAAGTATGAGAGCGCGACGGCGAAACAAAAGTTTTCGAGGACATTGGCGACAATTTCGCGCAGAAAACTTTTGCTCTCGCGGTACATACTATACGCGGGGGCTAGTCTATATAGAGTAGCATATAGCACTCCACTGCTCTAGTTTCGAAACTCGAACGTACGCATTATGTATAACTGCCAAATGTATATCGTGCGTTTTATGCACAGAGCATGCTGAATCGTCGAGCTCTGTCGGACGTGGTGGAGACGCCGGGTCGACGTCGCGAGGAAACCCGCGCCGTCGAGATGGTGCGAGTCGGTCAGGCTCTCAAACTCGAGGCGATCGTGCACGGACTCGCGCCGACCTCGCTCGCCACGGTGGGCCCGCTTAAACCACGGCCCTGGGAGCCGCGCTGCATCTATCCGGACTTTCCGCACGAGGTGCTGTGCGGCGACGTCTGGACCGAGGGCCGACTCATACTGGCCAGCGAGTACGGCACCTATCTCGTGGAGGACGTGTCGCATCGCATGCTCTTCGACAAGAGCGTGCAGATGAAGCAGTTGGACGTGGTGGAGCAGCACGGCATTCTACTGTTTCGGGCCGGCGATCGCGGCAAGGACTGCCACGTGCACGTCTACCGGCTGAGCGAGCTCGAGTCCGAGGCTGGGGGCAGCGCCTCGTCGACGGCCTCCACGAGCCTCGACAATCAGAGCATCGAGCAGGACGACGAGCAGCAACAGCAACAAAATACGACCACGAACGTCGTGGACGCTGCCGAGGCGGACGACGACACGGACTGCTGCTCGGCCGCGAGCAGTTACGCGCGCCAACGACGTCTGAGCGTACGCACGCGGGCGATGACGAAGCTTCGCCGTCTCGACCGCACCAAGGGATGCCATCTGTACTGTCTGACGCGACCAGGCGGCTCGCATCTGCGTATGTGCGTGGCGGTTGGCCGTCGCCTGACCGTCCTCCAGTGGAAGCACAACGCCGCCTGGACGCAGTGGTGCGCCGCCGCCGACACCGACACCGTCGACGGCTTCCTCCAGCTCAAGGAGCTGCAGGCCTCGGAGCCACCCAGCATCATGACGATCGTCGACTGTCAGGAGCCAGGGCGTGAGTGGATGGTCTGCTGCGGCCTCAAGCATCACTACGAGCTGCTCTACGTCGATGGCACCTCGAGGAGCGTACATCTCGAGGCCAGCGTAAAGCCGCATCTGGTCGCGGCGTTGGATCTCTGCGAGGACGAGGAACCCGAGCTGCTGCTCTGCTACAACAGTGAGTGCACTTGAAATTTTTCTATCGATGTCGTATCGGAGCTAATTTCTTTTTTTTTCGACGAGATAGATACGTGTCACTTTCAAAAGCTGTGCGACGAGAACTCGGCGCCGACGGAATTCGACTTCAATTGGAATTCCGTTCCTATCGCAGTTGGTCAGTATTATTTTTACGATTTAAAAATTAACCGTAAGCTCGACCAAGCATTAATATTAAAAATTATCTGCAGCCTGCGCGTTCCCCTACGTGATAGCATTCACCGCGGACACGATGGAGATACGCCTGATAATCAACGGCAATCTCGTGCACACGATCGCGATGCCGAATCTCAGCCTGATCACCTCCAAGCAGGACATATTCTTCGCCTCGACGGCGCCGGAATTCTTCTCCGTCAAACTCGACAAGGAGCAACTGGATCACAGCAGTCGAAGCCACAGCCCACCCTCGTCCCAGTCCAGTGTGCAGAGTACGTATTATTCTCTATATGTGGGTCATGGCATTTCATGAATTTACTCTTTTTGTCGCACTTGGCTGCACCCGCATTTAGTTTTCGCTGAATCTAACGAGAATTTAAAATTGTCTCTTTCTCTCTCTCACTGTAGGCGACAGTCGACCGATGCGCATCTACCGCATCCCCCTGCAGACGCTGTCACGCACGAGCAACGTGAGCAACTGCGGCGCCGGCGGACAGCGACGCTGCGCCAGCCCGGCCGAGCCCGAGCTCGTCGCGGCCCTCCAGCAGCAACCCAACAACAGCGGCTGCAACGCGCCCCAACTGCTGGACACGAGCGGCAATTTTCTGATAGCCGAGCAGCCCCAGCATCGTCTTCTCAGTCGGTCGTGCAGCAGTAGTCCCACTCCCAGTCACGGAGCCTCCTGCTCGAGCTCGTCCAGCAAATGAAGATAAAAACAAAAAAATACAAAACCCCAAACTCCCATCTCCCCTACCCAGACTACGTTATTTTCGTTGTTGCAACGGGGCTGGCCCTACTGCAGCTCGCACTCTATCACTCTCTCAACTCGACTCGAGTGTAATCCTCGGAAAATGTAACGTACGTTATTTTTTTTATCGGTGTCCCGAATGCGAGATGAAACGAATGAATTGTGGAACGTAACTCGTTGATTGTTTCTCATTGTTGTATAATAAAAAAAATAAACTGCGAATGCTGTGCATGCCATGCATCTCTTGTATAGTATTATTATCATAATAAAATATATATTATATTCTACCGATGATAAAAGACAACAAAAAAATTACCAAAAAATAATGTATACTTGTGTTGGTTCGTGTGTGTGTTTACGCGAAGCCTATGCGCGCGCCTTGGGACGATGATAATAATGAAGAATAAGATAAAAAAAAATAATAATAAAAATGACGAGAAAGTGTGTGACGGCCTTAGTGCTTAAACATGTATATTTTTCGTTGTCTTTACAACAGTCACATTACTTCGTAATATGCATATGAACTACTACTCCAGCCGTGTCTTGACAAAAGAAAATAATCACTAATTTTAATTCGCGCGAGTATAAAGACATTCACGGCTTTTCGTTCATTTTTTATATATATGTGTACATAATGAAAATAGAAACACAGAAAATTGTATTAATTATTAGTTAGCCAACCGAAAAAAAGAAAAAAAAACATCAGTATTGAATTCTGTCGAACTGTGCACCAAATGAATGTATATAAGCGCAATATCATACTTTCGATATGAATTCTCATCTTCGTCTGATTATCCGCAATAATGGTGTAAACTTATTTTTTGTTGTGCATTGTTATATGTGCTCTGAAAATATGCAACAATTTCAATATTGATCAAACGAAAAAAGAATCGTAAGTGCCAAAAGAAAAAATATAAATTATAATCGATACCACGAAAGAGAATCAAATATGAAAAATTATGTAGCTGGGTATAATCGTGATAACCTCATTCGATCCTACAAAAAAAATACTTTACTTTCGACTGCTTATCCTAAAAATCGATGTAACCCTAATTGTACATAAGTCAAGTTTTTGGTGTGAATTGTGCTAAATTCGTTTCTCAGATAATATACAAGTGATCGATACAATTTTAGAATATAGTTACGTATAATTACAAAGTATTACAATTAGTATAATTATGACTTAAGTGCTTGCTCGTAAAAATTTTCTCGTAGCGTAGCTCTCAATCGTTCATTTCTTTTTTCTATTTTCGAACTCTAACGGTGAGTGCGAGTAACCCTAGAAAAAGTTCACACAAATAGTAAAAGTAATTTGCATAAAAATTCGATTTTTTTCTCTTTTGCATTTGTGTGTTAATCCTTTCGATTTGGCTCGTGACATGAATTTTTTTTCTTCAGGTATCCAGATCTTACATTGATACATATTTATGATTGAAAAGGAAAAAAATTTGAATTCAAAGAAAAATTGAAATTTCACAACAAAAAAGAAGTGTATCTATACTGTAGAAAGGCGAATACTTTTACGAAGCAAAAAAAAACAAAAGGCGTGAAATATTTTCAAGTACAAAACTCTTAATTGCAAAACAAATTACATTAAAATATACGACATAATCCGTACACATAGAATGTAAAGATTCAGCAGAAAGTGAATTTTATCCTGATTTTACGAAGTGCCGAGTGGCATTCAAGTCAAACTTTTGAAAAGTTTCAAGCTGAATTTTATTTTCGTGTCTGTTACATAGGATATTTATCCGAAATCAAGAATAGTGAAGAACGACTGTGAATTTCGAATGTTATAATGTTCTTCGTGAAACTTGTGAAGATGAAATAAAAAGAAATGGTGAATGTTCAATTGTTCTTTCTTTCTTTTTCTCGTCATATTCCACTTAACGTAAACTAGATGCAGTAAACTTGAGGAATTCGAAATATCACTTCAACTTTCTTAATTTTAAGTTTCTGTATAAATATTGCACAAAAATTGCCATTATCTAAATTCTATCTATTTTTGACAAAACAATAACTCTACGGACCTTACAAATATAACAATATAACAACTTAACCGAGATAATTAATTATTTTTTTCATTGGTTAAAGAGATCATTGTGTGCTCGCTATTCGTCCATCGAAAACGCATTACGACACTGTACACATGGACTTGCGATTGCTGGACTTTCGTTTCGTTCCATAAAGTCGAAATGGCAGAAGCGGCGACGTCTTCGCTGGCATACTGTGGTACTTGTGATTACATTTATTCAGACCTAGACACGAGAAAAAAAATTTTTTTGTTTGTTTGTTGCATTGACACTGAATAATTTGACGCGCTGATTACAAAAAAATCGAATCGATTAGTAGAAAAACAAACCAGAAAAATCCATACTTACTAAAAAATAAACAAGCTTTGGAGAACGTGACTAAAAAAGCATTCGATTATTGTAATATTTTACAGGTTTAATAGTAGATTAATATATATTTCAAACTTTCAGCTTTTGTACACGCAGCTTCAGCGCTAAAAAATATTCAAGCAAGAGAATTTTCGATCGAGTAAATCGATTTTAAAATTTTGTTATTTAGTTTAATCAAAACAATGCATTATTAAAAATAAATTATTGGGTTATTGGGAAGAAAAATCATCGCAAAACACGTTATTTTCATTCATGGTAAATGTATAATAATATATATTTATTTATAATTTTTCTTTCTCTTCATCTTCATATAATTGATCTGCATAAAATTTATTAAAATTCATAAAAATAAATACGTCTTCTTTTTTTTAACATTTATCGTGTGTTGGATATTGTGTTATAATAATTTACTCTTGCCTTATAAACAGAATAAATTTGTAAAAATCAACTGTGTCGATAGAGGATTCGAAGAGAGATAAGTAGTAGAGAGGCTACAACGTGAAAAGTATCTGTTTTTTGGATTACGCTTGTCTCTGTCATAATAGAGTGGTAGTGGTAGAAGTAGTGGTGGAAACCGCACCTGCGACATTATCAAATACAAAAAAAAAGAGATACAAATCGCCATTAGATCCGTGTCTTTCATATATAATATAATCAGCACATGAAAAATTGAGTTATTTACGGTACCATTCGACCAGTGAACGGAATGTATAAGGCACACAAAAAAATAGCAACGATACATGAAAAATGCAATGATCAACTGAGAACGAAAGATGTTTGATCTGCAAGCAGATTCTCTCTCTTTCAAGTTAAAACTTTGATATGTAGGTATACAAGCGTGAAATCTTGTAAAGTTGGAAATGAAACTCGCTTTATTAGCGTAATAATAATATTATAACTCGTTAAGTCTTCTAAACTGCAAGACCAACGCTAAATTTATATGTACACACACATAAAACTACGATAACAAAAGTATACATCGCAAGCAATGATAATATTTAAATCCTCTTCCAATATATGCAACTAACTAACTAACGCACACATTTACACACAAAGACTCGATATTACATTTGCCAAAGCTCTAGGAATGTAATCAGAGATAGTATAGAGAGAGAGGATGTTGACTAAAAACAAACACAAATGGAGCGTAAAGTGGAATCGATTGGACACACGGGAGCTGGATTTTCGTCAATATATGTATACATAAATCGCCATGTCCTCGATAAACGAGTCAAAGTTAAGTAATAAGTTTGGAATGTCGATATTTGTATGTATACGTACGAATGGTACCGTATTCCGGACTCGAACCAGCGCAACGACAGTCGGATTAAAATAAAAGTACATATACGTTCTATATTCTCCGCGTTAAAAAATACTCAACAATTCCCGCGTTCGTGTTTCGTTGTATGTAAGTAAAAACTAATGTGTAACTTGCGGTAAATACGTATGTATGTATTATTTGTATAGCACGCAAAATAGATGGTAAGTTTATAAATGGGATAAAACGTGTGTGTAAGTGCACATCGTCGTCGTTTATATGTACAATAATATTTTTTTTTGTCTATTCAATATTATGGCACGTATTGGATAGCTATTAGCAGCACGAGAAAGAACACAAGCAGTATGCAGCAGCAGCACTGGGCCGTTAGATTATTATTGCTATTGCTATTGCTATTATTATTTTTATTGCTGTTGCCGTTGTTATTAGTAATGTGGCGTATGCACTTGGCGGTTAGTCGGGCCGAGGCGGCGGTGGCGCTGCCGAACAGCTCGACGCCGCGGCGCTGATTGTCACGGCTCAGCACCGTGCCCAGGAGGCTACACGTAACGACGGCCTCGGCGGCGTGCTCACCTTCCCAATTATTCCGAGATTGAAGGGGTCTTTGCTGCTCTGGCTGTTGACGTCCTCGATGATGCAGTCGATCCAGGCCGTCGTCGTCGTCGCTGACGGTCGACTGTCCGGCGTCGTTGCGAGCCCGCGGGGTGCTCTCCTTCCAGTCGCCGGCCAGTTTGGCCTCCCTGACGCTGCGCATGAAGGCCTTGCTCGAGTTGTCGCGGTTCTCGCACTTTTCCCGACTGCTACTGCTACTAGTGGTAGGTGCTGTCGTTGCTTCCGTGGACGAAGAAGATTCCAAGGCACCTCCTCCGATTGGCTTGTTGCTCGTTGGCTGCAGCAATTCCGACTCCCTGCAGCGCTTGATGTCCTCCCGGCAAGTCTCGCGCAGATTTTTCAGATCGTCGAGCACCGTCGAGATTTCGCGCTTGATCGTCGACTGGCCGTCCACTTTATCTTCTTCCTCTTTCTTGTTCTCTTCATCCTCATCTTTTTCTTTCTTTTCGTCGTCGTCGTCTCGAGCAATACCGTCGATTATTTCCGAGGCGCTCATCACCCGCAGCGCAGCAGGCTTATCGTTACTCGCTACCGACTTGGCGGTGGCTTGTTGCGTGGACGATGGAACTTTACCATCGATTCCCTTTGTAAGCTGCACGAGGTTCTCGAGGTCTTGGCAGAGCTTCTTGTAGGCCGAATTCTCGGGTTCGGCTCTCGCGGCAGTCTCTTTCGGACTCGTGTTTTGCGCCTTCGCGCTGGCTACGCTGGCGTCGCAAGTCACGAAGCTCGCGCTGCTGTTATCGTGCGTCGGCTCTCTGCTACGGCTAAAAAATACACGCGCGTGTTTTAGATCGCAGGTCGGTAAGGAAGATTCCTGCGCCTTCTCTATCTACGTACCTTCTATCCTTCGATCGAACGTCGTCCTCGGAATGATGCACCTCGCAGGACTTGGAGCTGAGATCGAGATCGCTCGATTGCCGATCGACCACGACGACTCGCACCCGAGGACAAGGTTCCTCGCTGGTGACGTGGCCGCTCGTCGCGTCTCTGAAGCTGCTGCTGTCGTTCATGAAGCCCAAAGATTCGGAATCGCTGACTATCGCCGCTTGACTGCCGCTCCTGCACGAGTCCAGGTCGTCGTCGTCATCGTCTACGTAACCCTTGCCACGACCCGTCGGCGACTGCGACGAGCTGATGACGCCGTAGAGATTGCTCGACAGCGAGCGATGTCTCTTTTTGAAGCTACTGCTGTTTCGCCCCGAACCGAAGTGCAGAGGCGACGGGGTCGAGGGCACGGGACTGCAGAAGGACATCGGCGACGACTGCGAATGATGATGATGATGACTGCTGCAGGCCGAGGAGGCGTCCTTACGCAGCGCCCGATAGGCCAGGTCGTCGGTCACGAGGTCGGGCTCGCGACTCGGTATGTAGGGCGAGCGAGCGCTGGCCGGGGAACAGGAGGGCGCCTGACTGTGCAGGTAGTCCGACTCCGTGGCGGTGGCTATCGGGCCCAGTGGTATGCCGAACGGCGGCTGCGGATCGGATATCTGCAATTTCATATAAGTAGTGTAAGAAAATATCGTTTATTTTCAGCTGGCAGCAGCGTTGCGCATAATTACCTTGAGCGTATTATTGGCGTGGTGTCGCATGCGAAACACGACGTCGTCCAGCGTGACGTCGGGCTCTACTCTTTTCTTCCTGCCACTGCCATTTTGCTGCTGCTGCTGCTGTTTGGTGGCATCCTCCCAGCGTCTCGGTGAATTCTCGCCGCCGAACGGCACCGGCGTCATCAGGTAGCTGATGCTCTCGAGGCCGGGCGCCCCGGCGCAACTGGACGCCGGTCTGCTGTCCTGTCTGTTGGCCGACTGCATGCGCCTGAAGGCCATGTCGTCTCGTAGCCGGTGCTCCGCAGCGGCTCGGTCGACCTCGTCTTGTCCCTGCTTTAGAAAAAAAAGCGAAGTTTAGGAATGTACGATGAAACAAATGTTGATTTATTCAGCAGAGTCGTGTTAAAGTAAGCAAACGCGATATTAATAACTGCACGTATGTACGTTTGACGCGCGTAAAAATAAACAAACGCCAGTCGCGTGACTAATGCATGCATAACGTAAAACGAGCCTTTGACACACGACAATAATTGCTTACCAGTAAATTCGAGTCAGCCCAGGTCTTTCTCCTCGCAATGGGATCGTCCTCGGCGTCGAACGGCACCGGGCTGGCCGTCAGACCCCTGTAGTGCATCTCCTCCAGGGTCCGACGGTCGGCCCTGTCGAGCAGCTGCTCGTCCGCATCCAGATGCAGACTGTTGAAGATCGTCTCGAGCTCCTCGAGGGCGCTCTCGAGATTCGCCGAGTCTTGTCGGGAGCGCGGACGACGCAGTGGCAAGCTGCGTTGCAGCTGCTGCGGTGGCTGCGACTGAGACTGCAAATACTTTGGCTTTTCGGGAAGCGGAGGTGGCCTGAGAGACGACGACGGTGACTGGGTCACCGAACTGCCGCGGCCGCTCAACTGCGCCGGGCTCTGAAAATAGACACACAGTCTTGGTGAGTCGGGTGGCTATATATGCTGCACGCGATATGTATATGTAGGCAACGCAACGCGCGACAAAGAACTTGAGCTCTTATAGGACGGTCAATTATCGTGTGTTGTATTATTATATGTTTGCTCTGTGTGCGCAATTAGAGCGATCGATCGAACGCGAGATAGATAGACTCGATCAAGGTCGTCGTCGGCTGCTACTGGTAATTTTACTCACCGTGACGCCGTTGTTGGTGTCTCGCAGCGGATCCCTTCTAACGTTGGCGGCCACCGGTATGGTCCTGCCGTAGCCGTTGTCACTGGCGAGCAGCAGTCGACCCTCGTTAATGAGACGCACTTCGCAACTCGGACTGGATATCGAGTGTCGCTCGAGGCTGTACTCGCTGTTGTTCTCCTTGTCGCTGCTCTGCTGTTGCTGCTGCAGAATCGTATCGTTGTAGCGATTGATCGGTAGGCCATTGATGAGGAGAGATCGGGACGAGCTCGAGTCTCTCGAGGGTGGCACCGGTGGCGCCGATATCCTCTTCTGCTGCTGCTGCGGATGGGGATACAATTTTCGGGGCTTTGGCACGGGCTTGATTCTCGCGGTAACGGTGGCGTCGTTGTCGTTGTCGAATTGCGAGAAATATTGCAGAGTTTGCTGGACTAGAGGATTGTTCACGCCGTTGGCGGACGTGGACGTCGAGGGGCTGACCGAGTTGCTGCTGCTTCGTACTCGTTGACCGGATGGCAGTGCGTAAATGTGTCTGGGCTGCTCCGCTTCGAACGCATACTTTTTCGACAGCATTTCTGGGACTGTAAATGTAATTGTGGTTCATTATTCACGAGCTATTGACGATCTTTCCAAGCTCCGCTATAAATGCAAAGGTACTCGAGCGCGCAACAGCCGATCGTACATACATGTATAAGGCTTCGCAAGCTCGCGCGCGAAACAAAAAAGCTCGCGACTTCGACATAGCTAAGGTATATATAAGCTCGTGAATTTCCAAGGTTCGTAACGAGAGCCGCAAATACTGTTTCTGTGTACGAACGCACACACGAGACTCTAAACAATGTTAATCACGCAACTGCAATCGCGCGAGGCTATATAGGTGCATTTAAGAGCTCCAAACACACGATGCGATGCGCGCAGCTGATCGATCTTTATTGCGCTGGCCTAATTTTGTATTTTTTTTTTTTACACACGCGGGCTTACGTCTGTTGCAGTACACGCGTGTCTAATAGAGACGATGCACCTATATTTGATTCGTACGTATACGAATCCGAGAATCGTGTACAAAAAAGAGAAATAAAAGCTTTTTTTGCTGTGATACGGCTTCCACGGAAAATTGCGCATCTGTGCGCATCGAAACTGAGCTTACCTTCACTCCTCGGCCTCGTGGCGCTATCCAGACGATAGGGCAGCATCCTGGGGGTTCCTTCGAGGACACCCGGCGGTCGCAACCGATCCAGATTCGAAGCAACAATTTTAGAAGCTACTCTCGGCTTACTATCCGAGCCACTGTAACACTCCAAGGCACTCGTCGAATCGTTATTGCCGCCGGCAATGTTGTTGTTAACCAAGCCGTTGACAGCGCCGCACTGCCTCTTCAAGTATCTCTCGGTCCTCGAGGTTCTCGATCGCCTCTTATTGGTCGGATTGTTGCTACTGCTGCGCCAACTGCCACTGCCAGTTCCATTGCCACCGCCACCCCCGCCACTCTCGTCCATGTCGCTGCTGCTGCAGTCGGCGATGACGCTCGAGCGACGCGACTTGGTCGTCATCGGGCCTTTGCATCGACGTCCGCCGCTTCCGTTGTTGGGCGAGGACGAGCCGCACGAGCAGCAGCAATTGTGAGGAGGTGGCGCAGCAGCAGTAGCGGCTTCGGTTAGGAGGACTGCCGCTGCCGAGCTGCGCTGCTGGTGGTGACGATGACCCCGACGAGCGCTCGAGCTCATCGTCGCGTCGTCGGCGTCGTCGTTGTCGATGACGATGTTGGTCGAGTCCGGCGCCGATATCCAGACGATCGGCCTCGTGGCTCGGACCGCGTCCAATTCGGTGACGCGCGGAAAATTGCCCGTGTCGTATTCGCTGGCACCTGTGTGGGTCAAGGCTAAGATCAATTTTTGGTTTGGATATGCATAAATCGAGAAAGTAACTTTGTTTTCACCGTTTTGAGGATCAACGATATTCATTCTCCGAATGAAACAAAACTGAGCTTTGACTTATATAATTAATTACGATGACTTTACCACTTGCAGATTTACAAATAAAGGTACTCGCCATCTAGCGGCGATCGTTTAAAATGTGCTTCATATTTTTAAGATATTTGCATAAAAACATCGTTAACAACGCCATTAAAATATTACACAATACGGTGTTGTCGCAACGAACCTCTAAAATTGCTCGTGACAGCGGCCAGCGGCAGCTCCTCCAGCGAGGACGCGGGACTGCTACCGGTCGACGAGACGGACGACACCGAGGCCGAGTGATCAAGCAGCGACGAGACCCGCTTGAACAGACCATCGATCGACCATTTCTTGCTCAGCGAATTCCGCTTTTTGTTGTGGCTGCCGTCGAAGGAGGTCGGCGTCGAGGCGTTGGACGAGGCGTTTCGCCGACTCGGCGGCAGAAGCGTGTCCTCGCGTATCTGGCCCCAGAGCGGCTGCTGCTGCTGTTTGCTGTTCTCGCCGCAGCCCTTGCTGCTGCCGTTGTTACCCACGCAGCGCAGCTTGTCCATTTGACGTTATCTGTCGGTTGGATCTTGCTTCGTCGTCGTCGCGCGGACGAGTTTCATTGGTTTTGACTGCAACGAGAAGAACAAAAATTGACTTGATTTATTTTTCTCTTGGACAATTGGATAGTTCGTACACTTTCACTCGCATATAAATTAATCACAAGCACGCATAATCATTATAAGACAAAAATGTCTAGCGGGTCGCATTTACTAATCGATGATCTATTGATTCTATTGATACTATTGATTCTTCGAGTGCCTCAAATACGCGCATTACTCCATCGAGAGAAAATCGCGTCGATACAAAAGAAGCAAACAAAAGCAGAAATTCCAGCGCTCGGGGTAACGCTATATACACGATCACCGAACGGAATACGATATACAGAACTATGTTAAAGGATTGTATATCGTATGCGGAGGATGGCACGTGCGCGTATGCGTAGAGAAAAAAGAGGAGCACACGAGAGATTTCCGCAATTTATATATAACATTCGCTGCAGTACAGGCCTAGGCTGAAATCATCCAATTATATTCTTATTAGAGAAAAAAAAATCCGCGCTGCGCATATTACAGAGCCGGAGCACATGTGCAGCGTATCCCATTCACTCTGCAGTCGCGAGTGCGTATATAATATACAGAGCCTCGTATTATATAGAAGGCGAGCTTAGCTAGTGCAGCGCAGTACACACACCCTTTCATTTTTTCTCATTTCATAATTTTATAATATAAATTAAACGTATATACGCGTAGGGGGGAAAAAATGTTGCGAGGGGCGGGGTTCATATATACAGCAGCAGCGGCGTGTATAATAATAACAAAGACGAAAACATAATCTCGCGTATACGCGTATTACAGTCTGATAATTGCGAGGAATGCGCATTCTAGAATCGTTAACGCGCCCGCTAAGTAAGTAAGTAAGTTAAAGCCGAGGAATCTAAACGCTTCGAGTTACATCGCGACATGAGTTCATATGTATACACGCCAAGTATAATACGCTCGCGAGTGAAAGTGTTGCGGAGCCCGAGAATATAACGTAATAAACGCACGCTCGCGCGATATATCTGTCTTTGGATATACGTGTGTTATATAGCGCGCGCGTGTATAAGTACACGACTAATTTTTTTTTTCAACACGTCGTGAGTCGTAATGATATTGCCGATATAATACCGATCATGCGCGTCGACTGTACATAATAATACTCGTACACATGGTCGATCTCGTACACACACAACTGTTTCGTGAATGCCATGAAGTATTATAGGTGTACATAGCGAACACCGTTAGCTTCTTATAGGTGTGCGTATAGACTATGGGTATATAGGTACGCACATACCGGTTTTCTGCTTCGACTATATAGGCACCTATATAGCATCGACGGCAGTTTTAGGCCTATTCCGTAATGCAAACAACGCACCGCATAGTATGTGTTGCGTCTTGTGCCAATATATATAGCTTATGGGCCGGAGAGCGAGAGAGATAGACAGATAGCTGCTGCTGCTGCTGCTGCTGTCGCGTCGATCGAGCGCGTAATACAGCCGACGATCGTGTGAGTGTAACCGTTTGTCCAAAAGTCGTCGTCTGCGAGCTCTGTATACGGCGGCGGGACGCGATATAATAATATTGTAAAAGCTCTTTCCTCTCTACATGTGGTCCCCCTTTCTCTCTCGCACACATTTTCGACTTGTGTCGCGTTTACGTATACGTTTTCTATATATAAACGGACGGACGGACGGACGAGATCTCCACTTTGCGACGAGATGTACATACGCGTGTGTGTGCCTTTCGATTTTTCACGTATAATGTATAATTCTAAATTTAAATGGCACGTTATAACTAATGCTTTCGGATGGATGGACGGACACGAGCTCGTTCGAGAGCGGACTGTATAACACGTTCGCGTGTTCTCAATTTTTTTTTCTCCATCGCGAAAGGCTGAGTGTATGTGTGATCGAGATTGCGATATACCTCTGTTTATATACGCGTGTAATTATCGATACGAGCCAAAGAAATTTTCGACTCTCGTCGTGCTCTCGAGAGCTTTAAAATTACTGGCACGCGCGCATACCACCTGTAAAAGATCGGCAATAAAAAACGGAGCTACGTATACGATTGAGATTCGAGATGCGGGGATGAAGTTCATTTCAAAAGGTTTCAATTGGAGTTGAAAAAAGTGATCCTCTATTTACACTCAATACAACGATGCACTTTCAACTACGCACATTGCCGCTAGATGGCGTCGAAACGATAATCTAAAAATCCCAAAAACGAACGAGCTGAGCCGGGTGCATTTAATGAGCGCCAAAGCCAAGCCAAGCTTATAAAGCGCCTTGTGTTTTTATAAAGTTCGTTCAATGTCTTTACACATACATAAATAGCACATAACTCGCAATTTTTATGACTCGCAAGTGTACATGCCTCTCGAGTCTCTCTCTCGACGATTCAACGCGATCGATTATTATTATCGCGCGTACTGTTACGTCATCGGTATAAAGATCGGTTAAATTTACGCGTGCAAATACTTACGCGCGGCGCGCGAGCTATATAGCACACACCACATATGTAGCGTATATTTCGATCGATATAGCACACGCGTGGTATACTACAATCAAGCCACGATGCGTGCATCGTACGGTGTCGAGTGCTGTAGCGTCTTTTCTATATTATTATTATACAAAAAATCGTGCAAGACATCGACGGGCTTTCTTTCCATAAGAAGTGCGCACCGCCCAACGACTGACCTCTCGTATACGTGCATATACACACGCAGTTCTCTCGCTCTCTCTGCTCTAAATTCATACGCTCGTATACAGTATGCAAAAGTGCGTATGTGTATGGCCTTTTTTTCTCTCGAACGTCGTGTGCGCGGAGGCCCCCATGTGTGTGTATGCGTACCACACGCGCAGTGCGTTATATAGCTCTCTGCGTTTGATAAATTGACTAATAATCCCCTGTACAAGCGCGTACAGGGGGAGACCCACACCGTGGCCTGCTGCTGCATAGCGTAAACACACATGCACATGCGATGCACACGCGTATATAATATAATCTCGAGGCGATGTTTCGTATATAGACTCGCGAGGGAAGCTGTGCTGCGAAAAGAGAGACTGCAGAAAACGAGAGAGAAAGAGAGAGAGATCCAAGGCCGAATATGCGTTTCTCTGTTTCTCTCGCTCGACTCACTCGTACACCGTGTGTATAGGATCGAGTCTCTTAATAAAAATAGCCATCGTGACTTTGCCCAGTCTTACGCGCGTTATGTAGGTAGAGATGGTGAACGAAGATTCGCGATGAATAATTGGAATTTTCGCGACTTGGGAAATTTCGGCCACGAGCTCTCTCTGTGATCCATCGCTCCGAATATATTATTATAGTTGTTCGAGAGCTGCCCCCGCGTTTATATTTTCTTTTCTATCGAAATTCGAATCGTGTTTGATATACCGATCGCGATGCGATACGAGCTTTTCTCTGGTCAACCGAACGATATCCAAGTACACAATGGCACATGGAAAAAAGCCAATAATAAACACGAGTGTCATTTCTAACGAGTGCAACTGGAGTACACGTACATTAAAAAACCGTTGGAGCTTTCGCGCGCACTTACTCCGATGAATCACTATCGCGATCAATCGCATTATAATACGCATATATCCGAGCGAAATAACGAACTTTTCTTAAAAGAAAAAAAATGAAGGAAGAAATATTTTACCGGTACTGCAGGTGAGTATTATGGTCGAAGAAATAGCTGCAGCGGCGGCGTCGCTGGCGGATGCCGATGCACGAGCTGGCGGCAACGCAGCAGCAGCAGCTGAGCCACGCGAGAACTATTACTGCACATTATCGCACCTGTTTTTTCACCGCACTACTACTCCTCCTCCCCGTCGCCTTCATTCTTATGTGTGTATAGGCGGATCGTGCACGATTTACAAAAAAAAAAAAAAAAAATTTCTACCGCTGCAGCTGCACACAATTACGAACTATAGCCTGCGTTTTCTTGGACTCGTAAACACAACAGTAATAATGATAATAATAAGAACGACACAGACGCACAACAGAGACTGCAGCAGCGACGCACACACAATATGCACACACGTGATCGCACGGGGCCGAACGTACTATATGTATTTTTGCAGCGCGGCGAAACAGAGAGAGAGAGAGCGAAGTGGACTTGTCGAAGCCACCGAACCGACTGAGAGTCTCTCGCGTTTATATCGTGTACGCGCGAAACGCCGCGGCCGAAGTGAGTTTCCTCCTCAAGATGGCCTCGCGGCGCGTCGACGGCCGCCGTACGTTACTTCGCTCAGGTCGTATGCGAAAGAGCCGTGTGGTGGTAGTGGGACACACACACTTGTACGTATACGTGTAGACCTGCTCACTCTCTCGCTCCGTCCGTCTGTGCCTCTGCCGTGTGTGCAAATTATGTACATGTATGTTCGAGATTCACCGCGCCACAAAAGCTTGTTTGTCTTCTTTTATTTATTATTTTTCTTTTTTTTTTACAAACTTTCTTAATGCTTATTCACGTGTGTACGCGCGATGGATCGGTTCGTCGAGTCTCGCGATCGAGGCGATATGTACAAGTTTCACGAATTGTTTACGAATTGCGCGCGTCGCGGCGCTTACGGCTACACTCGCTGGGGCTTGGCTTTGATTTACTCATAAATAACGCGATGTGTTTGCTCGAGTCGAATATTATGGTATAATTGTAAGAGCTTTCGTTATCGAACGATTATGATAAGACGCGCATCGTGTGAAAAAAAAATTAAAAATACACACATCTTTACCGCTTATCTCTCGCGACTTCCTCAAACAATGGGCCATTTAAAAGATCTGCTCGAGTATTTTTGCGCGCGCGTGTAATTACTCAACTTTTTGGCCCGAATAATGAAATCTTCGTTTTATTTATTTTTTTTTATTTTTGCACGCAGGACGTCGCGTCTTCTTCGCTCGCACACGCGTGGCAGCGACGACGACAATTTCGTAATATCGGATTCAACCTCGCGACGACGGCTTATCTTACGTCAAAATTAACAAAGCGTAGTAAAAGAAGACTCGATATTAATGGGACGTATACTGCCTCGTCGGTGCAATTCATCGTCGTAGTCTTCGTAGTCGAAGAAAATAACAACAAAAATGAGTAATCAATTAAAAAAAATAATTTATTGGATCATAGAGTCACGCGCGACGAGTGGAAGTAATATGTTACACGCAAAAATGAAGAAACCATATTAGCACGTCGTTGGCTAATCCGATATTTTACACGTATAGTTCGGTATTTAATAATGCGCGCATATAAAGACATTATTTCGCCCGATGAGATATCCCCTCGTGCTTCGTAATAATAAACGTATGTGCAGAGACCTCGAGATGCAATCGTCATTCGTACGCTTCTCAGCTGATCGATCTCGTAAGAATAAGACGTCTAATGATTTCCTTCATGAAGAATATAATTCATGCGTCTCTTTGAATATGCAATTATTTAAGCCTCGCGGACAATGTCTCCTCTCATATGTACGATCGCGTGTTAAGCCGCGACGATCGTGACCACACATTTTGTGGGACGCTCGATCGGCAAAGATGCCACGAATTAGGATATCGAGTTGACGCGCGTTACATTTTTTTTGCTGCTGCTGCTGCTGCTGCTGCGGTGCGCGAAGACCTACCAGACCCCGGCGTAAAGAATATATTACATTATTTATTTTCCCTTGACTCGAGCAACGATCTCTCGCTTGGCTCATGTACGATATTATGCCAGCGAGCGAGCCGAGCGAGTTATTAATGTGTGCAACTGAAACGAGGCATGACCCGCTGCTCCATCTCTCGCGGCTCTTAATCCCGCGGCGCGGTGTCTTGTCGAGAAAACGCTCGTAAGCTCTTCTACATAGCTGCGAGCTTGAGCTTTTCCAAGAAGAAGAAAGAAGCGAATCGAGTGTGTTGGACGAGAAAAAAAGTAGCACTAGGCGTTTGACTCGCGCATGAGAAATGTGTATAGCCATCGATGCTAAATCTATTAAATCTTCAAAAATTAATTTTTGAAAAACACTGCGATTGGACGTTTCATCTCTCTTAGCTATATGCTCGTGGCCAAGCACATGTTTATCGATTCTGTGCACTTATTATTATTATACACGCGCAAAGGCCGCAGACAGTTTTGAGTGAGCTACGAGTCTGTGCTGAGTTGTATGTAATAAGGCATGAGCTACACACAATGAAGCGTATGTACCTCACATAATAAGCAGCTGCGCTCGTTCTTAATACCCGACTGCCCTTCGACGCGATGTGTTTCGCTCACTCGCGCGCTCGTTAATTTGTACAAAGCATACGAGTGTATTTCTCGTTCTCCGTTTGTTTATTGATAGTAGACAAGATTTCGAAAATTGAAAATATTCCAAATTCGATAAAAAGCCATGGAGATCGAATGCCGGGCCGCAGATAAGAGGCCGAGGGTAATGCTTTTTGCCTCAAATCGCGGAGATTTTTTCCAATTTTTAAGAAGAAGTACTTACGGTATCCGTTCAATAGTATACTTTGCTGTTTTCTGGTATAGTCGCAGTACGTAATCAGTGTGAGTTTCATGAAGATTCGATGAAAATTGAAAAAGTTACGACGTTTCGAAAATTTGAAATATCGTCGTCGTCGTCCGCAGCTCGTCACATGACCGGCCTAGTCCGACTACAACGACAACTTACAAAAATTCGTTACCAGTATCGATCTCCTTTTCTTACTCAAAAATAAATACGAAAATGAAGGACAAATTTGAAAACGGTGATTTTTCGATGTTAAAGGTACAGCGCATCTAATGATGAGTTTATTTTGAAGTTTTATCAAGTTTCAAGAAGATCTTCGTATGTTTAAAATAAAGTTGCCTCAAAATCGTACCACAGTCGATGAAAGTATTTCTATCGCGACGCGTCTTTACAGCGTCATGTATATATGTCTGTCTCTGTCTCTCTAACGCACACATAGGCGTGGCAATATCGGTTTCGGGTTACTATATATATATATAAACAATTGCGTCGCTTCGCCAACAGCTCTCACTGAAAACGTGTTCAGTCGTGTGTTGTCAGTAGTGCTGTACGGTACGTACTTATACGTACGTGACGACTGACGGCGCCGCAGCGTGAACAGATCGAACAGATAGCATCGATTAATTTTTCGTTAAAGAAGTTGTAAAATACATCTTGAATTATAACTGATTGTGATTGTATGTGTGTATGTGTTAGTGTTAATGTGTATGTGTATTAGTGTGTTGAACAATGGCCCAGGACCGACAAGAAAGTTGGAAGAAATTGAGGAGTCTACGTAAAAAGACCAAAAGAAAAAATAAAAAGAAATTTCTTGACAAACTTCGTCCCTTGATCAGTAACTGGCAGGGTCGACTTCCTAATCTTCTGGATATTTTTCCAGCGAAAGAGATTGATTGGCTTCTCAAGGAGGCCGCGAAGAACATGAAATACGATGAGGGAAAATCATTCATCGAATTCGTAGCTCGTAGTGGCTATAAGGTCAAGCCCAAAGTAAGTAAAAGCGGCAAGCAATCGTCCAGACGTACGACGCCACTGCATCACTTGTGTCAACGCGACGATTTCATGTTTCGTTCCAATTGGCCTGTCGTGGCAGATTCGCTTTTCGACATTTACGACGAAATCCACGTGAATTACACCGACAGGTCTGGATTGACGCATTTCCATGGGGCCTGCTGGTTCGGCCGTATAGACTTGGTGAAAAAATTTCTCGAGCTCGGTCAAGATCCCAATCTTATTTGGCCAAAAAATAAATACTCGCCGCTGCACTTGGCCATGCTGCGCCGAAACAGAGAGTTGGCCGAATTGCTGCTGAGAGCAGGCGCCGATCCGAACTCGGTCGACAGATGTGAAATGACGCCTCTGAATGTCATTTGCGAGAATCACGGCGATGTTGACTTGGCGAAGATGTTGTTCGAGCTCAGCGACGAAAAATATCGGGTGCAGGTCGATCATCTCGACGAGTTCAAAGATACACCGCTGCAAATTGCGCTGAAATACGATTACACGGAAGTGGCGCGATTTTTGCTGGAAATGGGCGCCGATCCGAACTTGGCCGACGGCGACGATGGAAACAATGCTCTGCATCACATGTGCAAGATGGGCCAAGGCAACAACGATGGCTTGGCGGACATGATATTCGGTAACGACGATTACGAGCCGTTGCAGATTAACGCCCGTAACAACAAAGGCAACACACCGTTGCACCTGGCGGTGAAGAGAGGAAACTCGAATATGGTCGAAGTGCTGCTGAGACACGGTGCCGATTACAATGCAACCAACAAGAAGGGAATGACACCGTTGCACCTCCTTTGCAAGAAGTACGAAGATCCGACCTTGCTGAATCTATTCCTCGGAATCAACGACGAACTCGGTCGGGAGGTGCTGATCGACGCCCTGGACAATAACAGCCAGACGCCGTTGGTCTGGGCTCTGGATAACGGTAACATCCAATCGGCCGAGGTGCTGCTGAGACGAGGCGCCGACCCGAACTTAGGCACGCCTTTGAATCACATTTGCTACTACGACGGTCATTGGGTGGAGCTGTTCTTCGAAATCATCGACGGCAGAAATCAGGTGGTGGACATAAACGCCCGGGATAATGATGGTTACACGCCGTTGCACGTGGCTGTGTATTGCGGCAACAGAAACTCGACGGAATTGCTGCTGAGAAGGGGCGGCGACCCGAACTTGGTCAATAATGATGGAATGACGCCTCTGCACCTCATTTGCAAGGGAGACCACGACGACGATTTTTCGGAAAGATTTTTCACTGTCAATGACGAAGTCGGTCAGCGGGTGCTGGTCAATGTTCAAGATAATTTGGGCAACACGCCGCTGCATTTGGCTCTGTCTCGGGGCCACAGAAACTTGGTAGAATTACTGCTGAGGAGAGGCTCGGATCCAAATTTGGTGAATGTAGAGGGATCGACTCCGCTCCACGTCATTTGCAAGAGAGACCAAGACGACGGCTTCGTGAAGATATACTTCGAGATCAACAAACAATTGAATTACTTGGTGCTAATCGATGCCCTGGACGAGTTGGGTCGGACACCGCTGCAACTGGCTCTGACGAGTCTCCTGCCTGATGCGATCGATGCGCTATTGGCTAACGGCGCAGCTCTGCCTAGTGTCTTCCCCCCCACC